TTCATCCAAATATTGACGTTATTTCAGAAATTATTTGGAAAAAATCGAAATAAAAATGAAACTTCTACACCCTGTATCTCTGAATATACGAACTTTTTTAATTATTTTCATCTGCAGAATATGCTGCCGAAGTTTCCGTTTCAAATATAGTTCGGACCACCCTGTATAATTCGGCATTTCGAGTCAAATTGTCGTTATGAACAGCAAGTTACAATTTCAAATAAACCATATGTGAAAATGTCAAAAGTTGACATGACATATCATACTATTCAGAGTGTCATTTTCTATCGAATAAATTAGAAATATACAGAGGGTGTCATTTAAAAATCAAAAGTTGTAGTCATCTCCGGTGAAACAGGAAATGACCAAAAACAATTGAATACGTGAATCAATCCTAATTTATGCCATATATTAACATACGAAATTTCGTTTTTTTTATCTAAAAAAAAATTAAAAAGTTATAAGGGTGTGCCACTTTTGAGACGCACCCGGTATAGACTGAGGACAACATTTTGCACATTTCTTCATTACTGCATAGTAATTCAGAAACACATGCCAAAAATATTTATTGTAGAAACGATTAAATCGCTCCTATTTCCTCTAAAAACTAATTCGAAATGGGACTTTTTACTGATGAAAATATCCAAACAGAAAGCTTAGATTTATTTTTAAACTATGTAAAAAATTTAAAAATGAGGAATTAACAGGCGTCAGTGTTACCTTGGAAATAAAGATCTCTATCATTCTATATGTAAAATTAAATGGTAAATAGCATCGATGGTCATTTGCAAGCTAACTTGATTGAATTGAATTACTTTTTTCGATTATCTACAGGAAAATGTCAAATATAAACCCGAATAAAAAATCTACTATAGTCAGTTATTCATTTCCACCCAATATAAGTTTGTGGTATTATTAGTGATAATATTAGTATTTCGCTGTGATAATCATTCTATTACGCAAACAACAACCCATTAAAGAAAAAAATGCACATTCTGTATTAAAAAAGTCATTGTCAATCAATATCCGAGACATTCGTAACACTATTCTTACGTAACATAGCATCATCCTCAAAGACCGTCGAGAAAGCACCCCATCACGATCGCCTCGACATTCTTCAAACTGTTTTTTAGGCGAAATCCATTTAGCAGGCGCAGAGAGCCCCAATCCCTACAACGTAAAAGGTGTACTGTAGTGTACAACTTTAAAGATAACATTTTCGTTGCGTTTCGCTATACCGTACACCCTCTCCAGGTAAAACTTCATCAACACAATAACCGCCAACAAAAAAATATCACCTTTAGTGGCAAATCACAAAATATACAGAAATAGCAGTATGAAAAGTATAGGCAATATGAATACATAATATAAATATGTCAAACAGGGTATCAATATACGATATCAGAACTTTTGGTGGGACAAAAAATCACAAAATATATAGAAATAACATTATAAAAAGTAATATTATATCTAGATAATATTAATAACTCAGATCATGGTATTAAACAACAAAATAAAAATAAAAACAATAAATAATATAAATCTAGACGAAATTAGACGAACAATATGTGTACAGTATATCAAAGATTGTAATATAGTAGACAGAAAATTTTAGATAGGCAAAATATAATGGGAAATGTTTTAAATACATCGCCTTTCTTGTAAAGCGTGTCATCAAAATACTTACTTACTGTGTGTGTGTGTTGACATGCCTATTCAACATTTAAAACACAGCTTATTCAATTACCCAGCTGAACATTTCTCCAAATTTTCAAGACGACCTGTCATCTGCTGCTCATATGTGTGCATATGACTTCGTAGATGGGTTCTTGTAATCTTCACATTCTACATGTATTAAAACAAAAATATATAAAGGGTTGCCAGTAGTATCTGCCACAACATATCAAGCTATTGAATAAGCTGCACCTATATTTAAGGTAACTTAATAGAAATGAGATAAGTATCATTCAAACAAGTTTCGTGATGACAAATGACCTATAAGCTACAAATATGTCCATCCTTAAGCTTACGTAAATTGTCACAGAATACTTTAGCCTTATGACGGATCCAGATCAAGGTCACAAAAGGAAAACATAATTTCGAGACAAATACAAGAAAACCTTAAGGCAAAATTAAAAGGAAAACTAAACTGAAACAACTACACACACCAGCTAATGCAACACTTCTATTGCACTGCCGACAGCATTAAATACCGAGTTTTCAAAAGTGGCTCACCACTATCACTTTATTTTTTCAAATAAAAAAAACAGATCTGGTGTGTTAGTAAATGGCATAAATCAGAATTGATTGACGTATCCAATTAGTCTCGGTCACTTCCTGTTTCACCGGAAATTAGTACAACTTTTGATTTTTAAATTGTACCCTCGACATATCGTAAAAACATTTTTTTACTTTATTTGATAGAAAATAACATTCTGTATAGAATGATGTATCATCAAGGAGCCTTGGAAAAATACCTTTCATAGACTAATGTTTAAACGTTTCCTGACCGATTAAAAGATACCCCCGATTGTATTTTTAATCATTATTCAAACTTCAAACGGAACGTGGGCTCATTAGCATATTCAGAGTCAAATTGTCATTATGAACACAGCCATTACTCTAGATTGAAATTTAAATACTCTTTTTTTAGCAAACATGTCAAAAGCAAAGATTTCAGTTAACGTCCCCTTTTTGCTGCCAGGGCTAATCTGGACGGGGCCCACTTTGTTTACGCGGAATCCGAACCGCGGTCCTCGGCCATATCATAGTCAATGGCCTACCGACTTGGCAAGTGTCTAAATCGACGTAGCTGGGCCGTTGCCCATGTCAAAAGTTGTTTCAACGTTGTTAGCGAACATGTCATTCTATTCAGAATGTCATTGTCTAACAAATAAATTAAAAAATACCGAGGTTACCATTTAAAAATCAAAAGTTGTAGCTTCCATTATAGTACAATAATAGGTATTTAATGAGGGCTTAGTATTTCCCTAATATTTTACCGTGTCTCCCCAGAAAATTGTATGCAAAAGTTGAATTAAACTCTTAAAGAGACGTTGAAGTTGTACTTTCGCCAAGAATTTTACTTTATTCGGAATGGGCATTTAAATGTTATATCGTCAATGAAACGTGCAAACCTGCCAACTCCATTCTTGATTTTAAATAAATAATACTTTTATTACATCATTTTTACGTAAAATTTTTAACGAAATATTGATTTTTATTCTTCCCCAACAAATATTATGCTTACCTCTGTATCATAATGCATGAATATACTTGCTACATGTGTACTGTGTACATATATTTTTTGTACCGTTTCTTTTCTCTCCTCTAAAATTAGGAATAATGGAGTTAGCAGTTCATCACATTTCACCGACGATATACTAAAATCTACCTTCAAATTAGTAAAATTTATAATACGGCCCAGGGATAGCTGCAATTAAAATACCAGCAAAAATATGATTTTGTCATTGTCAAATTCGATGTCACATTTTGTTTACAATAATTTGTGTGATTTGGAAGGGCTGGATATTTTTTTCTAAATTGGGATGTTCTATAAAAGAATTAGTTGAGTTGAAAATAGTATTCACGGTGTATATGTTTACTATTCATTATTCTATCACTTTCATGACCTCGCTTATACCACATACATCCAAAATGCAATGTTCTGTGCGACCCAAAAGCGCAAATTAGCAAGAACGCTTAGGCCAAACATTAAGTTATCCACAACTAACACGCTAGAATTCTCTGTATGATGCTCTAACACAAATTATTCAATAAAGGTTGAATAGAACTATTTGAAAAGTTGGGCTACTGCCGAGATCTTAAAACGTTTAACTAATTCCATCGACATTTTACAAGGTGAACAAAATACCTTTTACGGATATCTTATGCCCACTCTTGGAGCTATTTTCAAGAAATGGAGAGATTAGAGACACCAGATTGAAAACTTCAAATGCGGCTTATAAAATTCTAAAGGCAAGTCAAGAAGCATTGTTAAAACGCTTTAAAGTTCTTTAACTTTTCCAAAACACAGGCTAAAGAAGCAATTTTGGTTTCCTTCACTTGGACCAGATTTAAATTACGCTGGGTAAAAGCGTTCTAATCTGTTTACAGAGACAGTGAATTTGTAGTAGAGGCAGCCGACAAAATAGAGGTAACTAATAGTGTATCTGTTAGGAGCAAACACCGATTTCGGCCAATGGACGGAAAATATGGTCAAAACGCGTTCTGGCTGTTATCATTTTGCCAATGTCCGAATTATCGCTTTCTGGCTATTTAATGAAGCCCAGAACGCGTTTTGGGCCACCTGCAATTGCCAGAACGCGTTCTGTTTTCTACTGCGATTGCCATAATGCGTCGCCGATTTTATGCGAGTCTCAGCTTGTAAACGATACCACCGGAGCTAGAGCCTAGAGCATTCATTTAGTATTTGATCTTTGTGCGGGTTAGAAAGTCGCTAGAAAGTATCATGGAGGACCTTAAATTATGTTTTAATGATGAACTGCAAAAGGCATAAGTGATAGCAATGATCGTAGCAATATTTTTACAAGAGAAAGATACGACCAAATACTTACGGAGGTGAAGGCGGCAAAAGCTTGTAAAAGCAACGGTGATACAATATCTTCGAAACAAAGACGGCGATTAAAAAGGTATATTTTAAAAATTGGCGAAACCGAAAAACTAATTGAAAGGAAGACAGACGAAACTGCCGAACTACGGTATTTTTGCATGACCCACGAATTGTTTGACATTATTCATTCCGCTGATGTGGAGGCAGGACATAAGAGACTACGAGGTATGTTTTTTCAGTTTTTTAATGGACTCAAGATCTACAAGTGTTTTTATTTATTTTAGTTATGAATTCTGAACTCAAGAGAAAATATTGTAATATAACACGGCAAATAGTTGAAATTTATTTATTACTTTGCAAGCAATGCCAATTAAAACAGAAAGTTCTACGAAAAGGACTAGTGGTTAAGCCAATTTTGACAAATGAAATGAATTCTCGCTGTCAAGTAGATTTAATTGACATGCAAAGTGAACCAGACCAAGAATTTCGTTTCATCCTAAACTATCAGGATCATTTAACAAAATTCACCGTACTACGAGCATTGAAAACAAAGACAGCTGAAGAAGTTGCCTATCATTTATTAGATATTTTCTGTTTATTGGGCGCACCTATGATTCTACAAAGCGACAATGGTAGAGAATTTGCAAACCGTATAATCAAAAATCTTGCTGAAATGTGGACCGGATTAAAGCTGGTCCATAGAAAACCTCGCCACTCGCAGAGTCAAGGGTCCGTAGAGAGATCAAATCAAGATGTAAGGGACATGCTGGTTACATGGTTAGCCGATCAACACACAACAAAATGGTCTGAGAGGTAGCGATTCGTGCAAAGCAATAAAAATCGTTCTCTGCATACAGGAATAATGAAAAGTCCTTATGAAGCTATGTTCGGTGCGCCTCAGAAGATCGGTCTCAAGGATTCGTCACTTCCTGAAGAACTTTTGTCTAACATCGAAACAGAAGAAGAGCTGCAAAAGTTGTGCGATCAGAAGAATTCAGACGAAAGTGAAGATAAACATGATGAAGATCAACGAGAGAAAAAATTTTGTACAATATGCGAAAAAGAAATTTCAGATACTTATCAATGTTCAGTTTGTTACCTACCTATTCATATCATTTGCGGAAAAACTAACGAAACAAATGGAGAGGGTGAGCAGAAAATTACATGTGACCGATGTCTACGAACTGAAAAAATAACTATTGTCCGGGACGAGGCTAAAGAAGGACTAGAGAAACAATCCGAGAAAATGATTGCCCTTTCGTATTCAAAGTTACCACCTATAGATGTAGGAAGAACTGTTATTGTACGAGTACCTGATGTTGACAGAGGTAGACTTGCCCCGAGAAATGTGTTAGCTGTTGTACTCAGTATTAACGACTCTGGACTTTATCAGCTTGGTGTGTAATAAATGTATGTGAGCTATTTAACATTATAACTTTTAATTCATTTTCAGGAACGAAAGATGGAACTTTGCAGTCGCTGTACTGTCGTAATGAGTTTACTTTGGCCGACTCAAACTTTATCGACATTTCTTCAGTTCCATCAACGTCTGTTTCTCTCCGTACAGCTTCTGGTTTAGCATCTGGATCAAAACAGGGCTTTGTACAATGTAATTGCAAGCGCTATTGCGTAGACAAGAAGTGCGCGTGTAGGGCGAAGAAAATAGTATGTAACAGTAAATGTCACAACAATAGTTCGTGTAAAAATAAGTAGATAGACAAGATGAAAATTGTTTTTTTTGTTCCGCGTTTGAATATTTTACGTTTCTTTTAAAAATAATGTTAGTTTTAAGGTTTGTATGTCGTATTTACATAAACAATAAAAATATTTTTTCGCATTGAGCATTGAATATTTGTGTGCTTGACTCGTCCTGACAATGACGCATGCCATAATGCTTCTGGGCTGATTTGGGAGAGTTGGAATGCGTTCTGGTAAATGCTAAAGGCCCCGAACGCGTTCTGTTCTCCCTTAGACGACCGGAAAGCGATATTTCGAACATTGGCAAGTGGCTGGCGGCCAAAACGCGTTTTGGCCATATTTTCCGTCCATTATCCGAAATCGGTGTTTGCTCCTAACATATCCATTAAAAAGAATATTATAAAAAACACTACTGAATTATTATTTTTTACTATTCATATGCTTTAAATTAGACCTTTATGACTCTCCAGACACGCTTAAAAGTTGCAATAAAAGGAAATTTGAGATTTTGCAGTATGTAGAGGATCGAAGTATGGACTTGAAATCATTAGATCGATTTCCTTTTATACGGGAACTATTTTTGAGATATAGTAACTCTAAGTTTGAATTTGTGCCTGCCTGTTCATTTCAACGTGTGTCTGCCTACCGTCATGCGTCATCGGCACACGTTGAAAGGCTTTTCAGTAACATAAACAGTAAACGTGACTTGAACATATGTGCTTTCTAACTTATACTTCAAACAATTAGTTATACTAAACGGTAAAATACTTACGACTGAAGTAAAAAAATATAAGTACTTATTGTTATAGTTACAAGCTCAAGTTAGCTTATTTATAGTTAATAATTAATAATAAATAAATAATATAATTTATTTATAAAGTTCATTATTAATACTTATTTGTAAGTACACTTTAGTTAATACATACTTCTTACATTTTTAACTGTTTTTCTGATGCACTTTCTGCAAATCCTTTAAATACTACATAAATACATGAAATAAACATGTGGTATTCGAAGTACGTTATTTGAACAAAAGCAGGTACTATTAAAGTATTTGATTCTTGAAATACTTTACAATACCCACATCATAACCATAAAAATATATATGTCGCAGGCGCAGGCGTATCGAATAACTCGGCATTTTGCAAAAAGACTAGGCATATCATAAAAAACGCCGGTGTTTTTAACAATAGAAGGATATTTTACAAAGAGCATATCTGTTTTTAGTCGCCTTGCAAAATGCCTAATGAAAACTAGTCAGATTGCACAAAACATTTACGTGGGATTGGTAAAACTAACTTAAATTTATCCAACGACATTTCTTGAACTTCTCTTTCAAAATTAGGAAATAATGGTACAAAAAGTGATAATTCTGTTAAATAGAGTATGGTTAACGGCGGTTATTATGAAGATATAAATTCATTTTATTCTAAAAGAATAAAAGTCCCAAAAAAAGAAAGCAAAGTTCCACAAAGAAGCAGCCCTGTACACAGAATCTGCCTGGCAACGATTTGGCATTTTGTAAAACGACTAAAAACTTTTTTACAGAGGTGTACAGAAAATATCGTCATTGTTAATATGCCTAATTTTGATTAGGTTTTTTGCAGAGTTATTTTTAATAGGGTTTTTGTAAAAATTCTTTCTTTTGTTTTTTAAAGCCGGCGATTTATAAGATGCCTAGTCTTTTTGCAAAAAGCCGGATTATTCTATGCACCTGCGACATACATATAAAATTTCAACGCGCACAGGTAACTAAATTTAGCGAATCTTATTTAAAAAGTCACCTACATTAGAAGCGGTATGTTAGTTTTTATGATATGTAAAATACCTAAATTAAATAATGTAAAATACCTAATGTGTTAAAAGCCTCTGGCAGACCTTCCTCTATCTATATAGAAATATTACTTTCTTAAAAAGAAAAAAAAACTATAAATTAGAAGGCACAATAGAATAATCATATCAATAAAAAATACCTAAAATTTAAATATGCAATTGTAAATAAATATCAAAAAGTAAAACTGAAATATAAAATTTTATATCATATTCAAGAAATCACGTATTAGTAGAAGTCTGATGTTAATTTTATCAAAAAATGGTAAAATAAGTATCAAAACATAATAAAAATAATTTTGTGCAGTCATTCCAATTCACCATGAATATCCATCAGAAAGTCATTCTGTGCTGTTTTTTCCTGAAATGCATCATATATACCTTACCTTTTTATTAAAAAATATGTTTTAGGAAATAAAATTATAAATCAAAGGACAGTACATATCACATAATAGAGAAAATCATACCAATAAAAATTTATAAAATTTAAATATGGTTATATATGTATCAAAATCAATAGATATGGTGTAAAAAGTCATATAAATATATACATATAAACTATAAAAGATCCCATTATGTCGCGAAAATATATACGTACTGTACCTCGACCAGCTTTTGTTGGATGGGTAAATGATCTGAAAAAGAGAATAAAAAACAACAAACGCAAAAAGAGTTAAAGAGTAAATTTAATTGTCTTCGTACATAAATGGACAGACGAACTGCCTAAATACATATTAAAATGTTACAATAGGTTTGGGACTAACGGTCAGATAATCAAAAAATAAATGAATTTCATACTCTCAAACAAAGAGGACCATTTAATAATCGTAACGTTTTCTTTTTCTTGCTTTTAGTTTCAGAGACTATCAATGATTTAGTTTTTGATCTGATAATTTTTCAATCGTAAGCAGTATTTTATTTTTAAGGGTATTTTCTAAAACTAGAAATTGCATTGTTTATTCAACATACTAAAACCGAACTGATATCTTTTATTTTAAAGAATGAATCTAAAAATCAATTTATAACATTCCTATCGTTGTTTTGTTCGATAATATCTCTCCTAGAGTTCGCTGGCTTACCCCCAGCAACTCTTTTAGTAGTTCAAAAGTACTATGAACTATACAAATATTCCTAAAAGACCTTATAAAAAAAATACTGCGGCGATATCCCAATAAAATCGTAAAAAGTAAACTATTTAAGAAAGAACATTGAGTGTGCTGCTTCCTGATTTAAAAAAATATAATATAAACAGAAGAATAGACTAACCTAACACTGCGTCTGAGACATACAACCCTCTGTCAACTTTACTGTGTTGGCCTGATTTATTTAACATTAGATCGTACATACTTTGCGGATACCCCTACTTAATAAAATTTTTTAAATTATTATGCAAATCAATTGACAATATCCATATATATATACATATATATAAAAGGCTCAAGCTCAAAAAATATTTTTGTACTGCTTCACTCAATCCTCAATTCCAAAAAGTTATCAAATGATTTTGTTGAAGAAATAAATAGTAAACACACATTTTCGCTTGCCAGGTTTGCAGGCAAGCACTATTGCTGTTTTTCCTAGTACCGTATGATCGAGAAAAATCGGCGTCAGCGATAGCTATTAAATGAAGATCGCTGTCATTTTATATGTAAATTTATATGAGAAATGTTATCGATCGTCATTTCCCAGCCAACTGGACCTCATTTTTTTCGATCATACGGTATAATAGGTGTACGTTTGTGTTTTGATTAATATTGAATTTAAAACTTTTCACCATCAAACATATGACTTAGACAGTCCTATCAGGGAGCTCAATAGTCGAGCAAACAAAGAAATCGTCATCCCACCCAGAGAAAGACCCATGCCCTAGACTAGAATGTATCTATATCCTACATATATATTCTTTAATTTTGAGCCACGATTCGATAAAATGCACGCGGTATATTCTTTTATAAGTATATGAATTCAATAATAAAAAAAAATGTTGCAAGCTTTATGGTGATTACTATATAAAAAATATCAAATTATATATCTGAAATTTTACTTAGCGGTTCAACGCTGTAAAGTTGATCGAAAGTGTTGAAATGTTTCTAGACCAGGTCCATTTACACGTTAACCTAAAAAAAATCAAGCATTATCTCCTATATATAGTTTGTCTCATGCCGCCGTGCCAATCGAATAAAATAAGTTGCGTAAATCTAGGACGACCTTAAAAAATTCCTTATGTAAAGAAATTTGAATGTTTCCGTTGTCGATTCTCAGGTTAGACGGCTGACCACATTTATAATCTGGAAATGATATATAATACTGATTGGTGCTGTTGGCTGTGCTTGGCTGAAAGAGAACTGGCAAGGTATTGCTCAAACATTCACAGTAAAAATGCAAAATGACTGGTAAATAAAACATTCTCTTACTTATGACTAAACGTTTGAATATAGAAATATCTCAGACCAATTATTATAAATATACAAGTAAAGCATTTGAAAAACTGTTGAGAGATAGACAAGACGAACGTTTATTTTCGAAGTTTAATAACCTTTTCATGCCAGTGATTGGCAAAGAAATGTTTATACGGTACTACCGCTACTAATAATACAGTTATTAATTTTAAATAGTTTTCAAAATTAGTGTGATAAAAAAAATCGACGATCAGGCAGATTTTGGATGGTGACAGATAACATAGATATAGTTATACAGTAAATGTGTCAAGTCAGCTCGATCAAACAGTATACAGGGTGTTCCTTAATGACATGCTAATATTTAAGGGGGCGATTCTAACCTATGGTGACCTATATTAAGAAAAAAACTCATATGAATGTATGCCTTAAACATCCTAACTTCTGAGAAACAAGGTTTTTTCATAATAACTGAGGTTATTGTAATTATCTTTATGAAATTTCATACACGCCTACTATGCATAAAACTGTTTTTTTTTTGGTGCAATTTTTTTTGTTGTATCTCTTAATTTCCATCCATTAATTTTATCTTAATTTATTTTTAAAACCTAAACCTTAAATTTACCCGCCTATGTAGGATTCCGCGAAATAAGACGGAAAGGAGAAGATCTGATAAAACTTCAATCGGGAAACATGTTCTACTATAAAGGTACATCTACTGGAAGGATTAGTGGCATAGAATTTCTTATCAAAAAGGAATGGAAAGACAGAGTAGTGAATGTAACAGGTATCTTAGATAGAGTGGCAAGCCTAACACTCCAACTGTCAGAGAAATATTACTTGCAAGTGGTACAAACATACGCTTCAACAACTAGTCATTCGAAGAGAAAGTAGAAGAATTCTATAATAAAATCAACCAAGCATTGGTTTGGTACTAAAACGCCCTCTAGCTACGAAACAAAGCAGAATCGGACCATGTTGACGTAAAAAATAAATTCTATTTGTAAATGAGGAATCTCTGAATCCACGAGAGATGGTATATGTTTTTTGAACACTCTGTATAAGTATATGTATCATTGCAGATCAAAGAATCAACGAATGAAAATATAAAGCGTATTGTGGAGTAGCAATTATCAAATTAAAACAAATTGAAAAGTATTGAGTGTATTATTAATCTAAGGTTCCAAACATATTGAAACATTTGAAATGAGACTACAGTTTTTATTTATGTTTTACACTAAAAAATACTATGCTTTTAAATGGACTTTACTGGTCTATTTATATTTGGCCAGAGAGAAGTAACATTCAAAACGCTATTTTGTTTTTCATGCAACTCTCACGTATTTTTACTGAAAAATCTAACAGTACCTTTTGCTATCAAACTACACATAAAATTATAACAATGAATTCCTGTATCCTGAAATAGAGAACCTCATAATCGACGTAAAAAACGAAAAGTTTGAAAAATAGAATAGAAAAGAAAGCAAAAAAATAAAATAAACACACAATATATCAAATTCGTGGGGGTTAAAATGTAAAAGAGAAGAATAAAAAACGAAATTATACTCACAAGTCTGAAAATATTGAAGGTTAGTTATCAGGCGGGTTAGGGGGCGCTGACGTCGGTTGCCCTCCGTACCCGTATTGCGGAAACCCGTAGTTTTGCTGACCAACACCGCCAGGAACTGGAGCTTGGGGCTGACCGGCGTAATAACCACCTAAAAATAATTGTACATACAAAGTGTGCAACAAAAGAAACGAATATTATTGATATTGAAAAAAGTTTGTGCAAAATTTCTTCAGAATGCCCAATTACAGCAAAAAATAATTTTGACATTTGTAATCACTGTCATGGCGGCAGAGTATAAAGTCCTCTTTACACAGCAAAAAGTGGGGTTAGGTTTCAAAATAACGAAAAAAAGTCAGAAAAATATATCAGGATAATGTAAAAACGGTGCTAATTATGAATATAAAGTAGTGTGAAGCTTATCTATTTTACCTGGTTGTTGATATCCTCCATATGGTTGTTGATATCCTCCAGGTGCTACTTGTGCAGCGCCTTGTGAAACAGGAGCTGCGGGCGCTGCAGCACCACCAGTCTGTTAAAAAGAAATATATCCACACATTTATTTAGCAGTTTACAGAAAAATAAAAATATTACTGTGTTTGAAACTTAATAACTAAACATAAAAACATATCCCACTGAACAATAAAAAAGAACAAATACCATTACAAAGAGATGAGAAATAGATAAAAGATAAGAATTTAATTTTTATGTAGCAAATAACTTAAAACACTAGTTTTTCTATTCTTAAAATTTTCCAGTACTGATGACAGATTATTAAATAATTTTTAACCCTTCATAAATAATGGTTTGTCCATCATAATACTGCTGTTTTTCAATGTGATAGCTTAAAGCTTTTCTTAAATCACACCAAATCATAGATCCTCTTTTCTTAACCACTTTTTAAAGAACGCTGTTAAAAATTTTATGTATCACTTTATAAATAAAAATTATAATTGCCTCTTTCACTATTTGTTGAATATTTAAATATTTAAAAGCTCAGTATTTCAACACAAACAAATCTTTCACCTTACAATATCTATTCCATCCTAGCACAATTCTTAATGTTCTGTTTTGTTATACTTGCGGTCGGTTTAAATCTGTTTAATTAATTTTGTTTTTAATAAGGCGTTGAATGAGCTGCGGCTGATGCAGGTCGATGCCGGGGCTTCGAAAAATGTTTAAGTAAAATAACTCGGCTATTTTGAATTTATTTTAAAAATGGTAAATAGAAAGTATGTTTCTTTTATACATATCTAGCACTCCTTAAAATACTTATGCCTCACTTAAGAGGCATCCCGTAAAAATAAATATTTTGTTACTGAACTACTGCTACCCTACCTTATTTTTCATCTGTGCCTCGATAGCTTCCGCCTCCTTCATTTTACCGATGCTTCGGTAATATTCAGCCCACTGAGCACTGTAATCCGGTTGACCCGACCCTCCCGCACTGGCAGGTGCTTGAGCACCACCTCCGGGCTGGGTTCCCGCTTGGGGAAGGACGGGGGGAGCGGCTCCGTTGGCCTCCGGCGTCGGGCCCGTTCTCGCCTTAGCCTGATGTTCGATTACCTCGGCCTCGCGGTGCATGCCCAAGGATCTGGAAGAAAAAATATGAGTTTAGGCAAATGGGACATTCAAAAGACTACTCTCTCTACTAGGCTCTTGATTCGAGAAAGAAGAATTGCGTCAGGTTAGAGGGAAATTACTTGGTAATTGTCTTAAAAGTAAAAAATGGCTTTACCTCTGGATCAACTAAAGATTAAGGTACATAATAAAATTATATAAGAGTTTCTTGCCTTGAACTGCTAATATAGAAATTGATTCCACGCTGTGTTCGACATAATGTGGATCAACTTGCTCTCACTACCGGTTTCAGGGCCCGACCCCATCATCAGGTGAGCTTGGGTCGTTTCCACAAAATGTCGAGCACAGCGCAGAGTATATAAACACGACTTGTCGTTAAAGTAGCGGTAAGATATTAAGTCCCGCGTCGCGAGATATCACATTTTGTGGAAACGACCCAAGCTCACCTGATGATGAGGTAGGGCCCCGAAACCGGTAGTGAGAGCAGGTTGATCCACATTATGTCGAACACAGCGTGGAATCAATTTCTATATTAGCAGTTCAAGGCAAGAAACTCTTATATAATTTTATTATATACCTAAAAACTGCAAGAAATTTATTTTCCATTATATAGATTAAGGTACATTTAGATGGTCAGTTGAGTTTTCCGTTTAGTTTCAGTCTCAATTCAGTTTAAAAATAACGATCTATTTAGACATCAATTGAGTTTTCATTATTGTCGTCCACAGTGCAGTCGACATGTATGAGGAATGGCTAATTGCGTTAATTTTCGCCTTAGCACCGAAGAAACCAAGAAAGAAAAGAAGTAAATAGAGCAAAGACTGTCTTCTAGAGAATATCACTGTCTCATGTAAATTTCAAATCTTGCGGATCTGTCCCACCGTCTATTGTGCGATTATCATATTTAACAATTACAGTGTTGATGTTTTTTTTAATGGATATAATATATAATTTTCCCATAAATATGTTTGGTTGGGTGAATTTTTTCAATATTTTATAAAATATAAAAACCCACAACTCTACAGTATATATTATGTACAGGGTGGGTCAAATTCGACGCTTTTAAATGGAAACATCCTTTTCTATATAGATATACGGAAGAATAAGGAACATTTATTCTTCCGCAAATATATCCATAGGATTAGATCCATGGGCACTAAGTCAGGCGGCTTCGACGGCCAACGGCTGGGATCTTGGTTAGCTATTCAATTATTCTTGAAATTGGCTGCAGAAATTTGCTGATAAGTTCAGCTTTCAGAGGCGGTGCGTCGTCTTGCTGGAAAAATATGTTTTCGAGTTCCATTAAGGGCATATCATCAATAAGGGGTCCAAAGCCTACTAGTTAAAAGTGGCAAACTTTTAAAAATTCTTTATTTCAAAGGGGATTACAACAAAATATCAAGTGTGCTATATTTTTGGAGAGGTATTTTTAAGTTCTTTTCAGTTAATTAAAAATATACAGGGTGTCCCAAATAAAAAATCAATTTTTCTGTTGATAATTCTTAAATTATTAATTTAAAAAAAATTATACTTAAACCATTAAATTCTACGTAAAAAGGTGCTTTGGAAATGTTTTCATAAAAATACAAAATTTTCCATAGCAAAAAAGTTACAGGGATTTGTTAAAGATGCACATTTTTGAAAAACGCCCCGTAACTCCGAAACAGTAACAGATATCGATATGCGGTTTTCATCATCATGTTATTGACAAAAATTGAGCTCCAGATACCGATATTAGTTTTTGTCTATCTCCTATAGTAAAGGGTGTTTCCATTAAAAAGCGTCGAATTTGACCCACCCTGTACAACATATGAAGGGTCCAGGGGAAGAACTTGATAAGCGCCAATTTCTTAATTTAAAGGTTTTACAATATTATAGTAGGTCTCACTAGTCCCTACAAAATGTATAAACTCGGCAGGGTTAATAAGTTGTTAAATCCTATAATATATGCCTAGTAAAAACATATAATACACGGAAAGAACCTGATAAGCACCAGTTGTGTTCTCACCAACTGTTTCCAGTGCTCTCCTGTAAAATTAGTATAATGGCGCTTATCATGTTTTTCCCTTGGACCCTCCATATTTCAACATGTTCTAATTTTTTTCTTCTAAAGTAATTCACATTTTTGTAAGATTTAAAAATAACTAGTTTGTAATTGTTTAAATGAAATAAAACCCTACAGGGAAGTTACCACTTACAAGTCACAGTTACATGCACAAACATTCGCCTGCAGAAAAGTATAATAAAGGAGTTTTACATTATCATATTTCTTGTAAGCTAATTAATTAAAATTATTTAATTATTTTGGGTTTCCCAAACTTCTAGAGTATACAGGGTTAGTTTTCTACGATGTTCTCTATGGATATCTCGGAAACCACTGGAGATACAGAGTCCGTTAAATGGGGAAAGAATTGCAGTTTTGTGGGGTCATAAATATGCGCCTTTCAGATTTTCTAAAAATTTCATGGCTTACTAGATATTTCCACAGATTATACAGATTATAAACTTTGTTTTTTCTTTATTGTTTTTCGCGGTTCCAATTTTCGGAATCGGGCACTAGTTAGGTTACTAGTTTGCGCACATAGCACGCCCACTTATGGCCTCTAAAATTGTGAACAGAAAACCGAATAGCGTCATGCTGTATTTACGTGTACCTTATTTTGACAGTTACGATATGCGCAAGTCAATTTTTAACGCAACGCCCGCTAATAACGTTACCGCCTGACGTAATTTGCGGATCAATTACACCAAGCGTTTTTTAATTAAATAAATATGGCCCAAAATAGGGATTCCACGTCTTCCAATATTACAGAACCTATAAAGAGGCTTAGGTTTACAGCAGATGACGACTTAGCCCTTCTAAGAGAATTTGTTGCCCTAAACCCACTGGCAGACGTTGCACAATAAAGCACTTAAGCCCTTTAGTTTTAAAATACCTAGTAAACAAAACAATTCCAAAGTTTTAAATTCAAAGTTAGGTTAAGTTTAAATAGCGGACGCGACGCGAATAGAATTCTTTCCGATCCGATAACTATAAATGAAGAGAGTTAATACCACCTCACGTAAAGGAAATAACACCTGGCGTTATTAACGTCCATGCACGCTACTCGGTTTACCGATATCTCTCTATTACGCTGTTTATTGTTATTTTACGCGAGTTTATTTTTGCGCATAAGAAATTTTACTCGTTTGCTCATCGACATAAAAAACAATTTTCGTACCACGAATTAGGGATAAGATTTTTATCTGTATACATATAGTATACCTAATCTGTGATATTTCGAAAAAAGCAAATTTCGGCTATTTTAAAAATTGTCCCTAATGCCATTATAATCTATTTTAGACAGAAAGTTGTCAGATAAAAGTTGTAAATAATCACATCCTTGATGAGATTGTGTCCTCCGTTTGTTTCTAAAGCCTGTCATTTTTGACATATGACACAAACATATATTTTTTAAATGGAAACCATAGTTTGCCATGACTTCACAAAAAGTGCAACTTTTTAAGCGTTTCAGCGATATATAAGCTATATTTTTTTGAAAAATTACCGATTTATAGCCAATTATTATCATTTTTAAACAATTTCGCTTAGTTAGCTATGGAAACAAGTTCAATCGTCGTTACTCTCAGAAATGTGAAACTGTCACATCCAAAGTTTCTATATTAAAATAAACAAAAATTGTAAATATTAATTTTGCAAATGAAGAAAAGCGTGTAGGATTATTGGTTGAACTTTTCTTGGCCATACATTTTCGAGGATACGTTGACCGGTGACGGTTACTTACATTTTTTAGAGAACGGTTTTCAAGACACGTTAGAAAAGTTAAATTTAGATACTCGCGCATCAATAGAGTGTTTCCAACATGACTTTCAGTATGACATCCCCCCCCTCCCCCATAATGAAAGAAATGTTAACAATTATTTATATCATGATTATGTAAACTCAGGGATAGGAAGAAGTGTACCACTTGCATGGGTCTCCTCGATCACCTGACCTATCCATTTTAGATTTTTTATGCGGTATGATTAACAAGGTTTACAAAAGAACTTATGAATTAAGAGAGGCACTCGAAGAGGCGGCACGGGAGAAGTTTAATTACGCCGACCGGTCGTTCTGTGAGAATAACTAGTAATTCAGTTTTAAAAAGATGCATTTATGTACTCAAAACAATGGCAGATTTTTTGAACATTTTGTAAAATAACTTAAAGTGTATGTAATGATATTTTTTTTTTAAGTTTTAGTTTGTGCAATGTAAATTGTAAACAACCGTTTGATAATATATTCTGTCTTTTTATAAGTTATAAATCATAACAGAATAAGAATACCATACCAACTAAGTGAAATTAGTCAAGAAAGATAAGAATTGGCTATAACTCAGTCATTAAAAAAAAACATATTATAGCTTACATCGCCGAAAAGCTTTAAAAATGGCGCTTTGTCTGAAGTCATGGCTAACTATGGTTTCCATTTAAAAAAAACATATGTTAGTGTCATATGTCAAAAATAACAGGCTTCAGAAAAAATCGGAGAACACAAGCTCATGAGGGATGTGATTATCTACAACTTTTATCTAAAAACTCTTTGTCTGAAATAGATTATAATGGAATTAGGGACAATTTTTAAAATAGCCAAAATTTGTTTTTTTCGAAATATCTAGTAAGCCATGAACTTTTTCAAAAATCTGAAAGGCGCATATTTATGACCCCGCAAAACTGCAATTCTTTCCCCATTTAACCGACTCTATCTCCAGTAGTTTCCCAGATACTCATAGAGAACATCGTAGGAAAGTCACCCTGTATAAGAGTATTTTATTGTGTAGAGCAGCCTCTAAGATTTTTCACAAGGTTATTTTAAAAATAAATGCGATTTACCTGGAATGATGAAAAACAATAAAAATGAATAAAGGCACAATATACCCACATATATGAGATGAATACAAACTGAACTCACTGAATTAATAATTTCGGAACGCACTTCAAATTTTCTAAACAATATGTACTGATCTCAGACACACCCTAAAACGCATATTTGACAAATAATGATGACGTTTAACGATCGGTGAACATTCACTAAGTTATACTTTTAGGACAATAATTATTTATATGAAAATAAAAAGACAAAAATTATATTAGTTAAAACAAAAGATATGAATATAAAACAACTGCTTACCTGTAGTATTCTGCCCATTGTAAAGAATAATCAGGTTGACCTGTCGAAGGATTGACTTGTACACCGGCACCACCTCCCGCGCCACCCTGCGGTGGTCCTTGCGCCGGACCTGTGTTACTCTGACCGGAGACGTCCCCTTGGCCCTGCTGGCCCCATTGTTGTTGGGGATAATTAGGCATTCCTCCCCAGCCTTGTGGATTATAACCTTGCGGCGCCATACCAGGATAGGCCTGATAAAGTGTAAAAGGAATTATAATTTAATAAGGAATATTTATTTTATTTAATATAGGATTTTGCTACATTTCAATGTCACACTGTTGTTACGTAATTTGGCTGATTCTGTGGGTTCAGTCCAGCTGTTAGACTAAAGGTCTGTTCCCAGAAGAATCTCTGACTAGTCAGCGCGTTTCTTATTGGTTGAAATGCGTAGAAACCTGACTAACAATCAGGTTTCTACGCATTTTAACCAATGAGAAACGTGCTGACTAGTCAGGGATTCTTCTGGGAACAGACCTTAAGTCACGTCCGTAACCAAATTATTTTTGTTATTATGTAACCGTAGTATGCATCACTCACGTGTCCGTTCATCGGAACCGTCTCTATTTACTTTAAACTATTAAAAAAATTAATTACTATACAATTAAAATGAGCAGAAAATTAATAGAGAAAAAGAAGAAAAAATAATAATTTCAGAGAATTACTACTAGGTCACCCAAGAAAAGAAAGAAGTATGTTACTTTTACACAACTTCTTATTGTGTTATTGATCAGATTTAACGCTGGCCTCATCTCTATTATCAAGGAATAATAAATGAGAATAAATTGTAGTAATTTCATTGATAATAGTTTTTTTTGTTAAGAGTGTTAGCGTTTTTCTATGTTTTTATCATCTCGGGGAATAACCTTTTTGACAGTGTTTGCTTCATACACAATACATTAGTTTCGGAAAATTCAAGAAAATGGCTACTATCTATGTGATGCTTAGATAGAACACAAGAACGTATTAATAACCTGCAATCACTTTTGTGTGTTATTCTGTCTTTTAGAGCTCTTGATGTTTGTCCGATGTAAGTCTGTTCACAAGACAAACAGAGAATGCTATAAACCACCCCTAATTTTTTATAATTGGATCCTTCTCTTTAATACTACTGTACAAAATGCCATTTTTTAAAAGCTATTAACTAAACTACTCAAAACAATTATCGCATATTTTCTAAAACAAAATATTAATTTGAAGACACTTTGAATTCTGCGACTTTTTTTAATAGTTTTGATACTGTAAAGTGAAATTCGAAGCAATAAGCATACGCGCTGATCTGCAATTTTAGAATTTGCAGTCGGCCGACTATTTAGTTGCTAAAGTGAAAACAATACGTATATACTTACGAAGCCGACGCGCGACGTGCTGACTGTTGATTGCTGATTGCATGTGAGCGCGGCCCTATTAGAATATATTGAACGAATTACAAATTTACAACTAATTAGTCGGCCGACTAAAAATTGCGTGTCAGCGCGTAGCCCAATTACATATCCCAAAAAAACTCAGAAAAATGCATACTTCATTTACAAGTATGTAATAATTCCTTTTTTCAAATATGCAGGAACCGTTTTGAGCAGGGCGCAATGATTTAAATCAACTTTATTTAAATCAACGGATTTTATTTTAATCATCGATTTAAATCAAAAAAATTAACTTGTTTAAAAACTTATGATAAATCGAAAGATAACTCTAAAAATTATAAAAACTTTTTCTATAAAGCTATAAAAAGTATTCCTACATCAAATATATCGTATATCTATGCATCAAATAAGTACAAAGTTACACTTCCTGTTGTAACGTTTAAATACTGAAATAGATCGAAAAATAATTGTAATAACATATAACACATATACCTACTTAATATTTATTTACCTATTAAAATGTTGGACCGATTTTTGAAGTTATTTCGTGTGAATCAATTACACTTCTAAATGGCAGAATCCATTACACTTCTAAATGGCATTTTGAAATTGTGAAGTGCCAGAAATCCGGTATTTGAATACATTTAATTCGCAAACTATAGTGCAAAACTAGTTTCTTCTGATGTCAGGTTGTATTTTTATTCCCGAGGACTAATCAATGTCAAAACTAAAACCGCCCACTCTTCTTGGTGAGACAATTCCGTTTGCGGAGGAAGTTAAGTATCTAGGATTAAACCTGGACAAAAAACTTAGCTGGAACTCCCATCTGGAAAAAATATCAGAAAAGGCTTGCTATGCTCTATGGGCATGCCGCCGAATTTGTGGTAGAAACTGGGGATTAAACCCCAAAAATATGTACTGGCTATACGTGACAGCCATCAGACCTATTATCACGTATGGCGCAGTTGCCTGGTGGCAGAAAGCCAACCAAACAACGGCAAAGAATAAACTGTCAAAATTACAACGACAAGCATGCTTAGCGGTGACAGGTGCCTTTCATTCTACGCCTTCAAAAGCTATGGAAACCCTACTCGACTTACCTCCTCTTCAAATTATTTTGGAGAGGGAGGCGAGATGAGCTACATATAGGTTTCTAAATATGGCACGAGAGAGCCAAGGAACAATCATGTTCATACAAAACCGACTAGTAGACGAACTACAAATGAGATTCTGGGAATAGTCTCGGATCTCACACCACCAATCCAACTCTAACGCGCACCTACAACGTCCTGTTTCCGAATAGGGACGAATGGGATAAGCCGAGAAACGGCTTATTATTTGCGGAAATGTGTTGGTACACGGACGGATCCAAAAACGATAAAGGATCTGGCGCAGGAATTTACTGCAGCAGTCCAAAGACTGAGATCTACCACAGTCTTGGAAAACACACCACTATTTTCCATGCTGAGCTATCTGCGATTGAAACCTGTGTGCAACTGCTGGTAGAACAGCAATACACCGGGAAAACAATAAGCATATTTTCGGATAGTCAAGCCGCGTTGAAAGCACTTGAGGCAACGAAAAGTACGTCCAGGACGATTCTTCAATGTAAGAAACTACCCAATATATTAGGAGATGGAAACAAAGTGTCGCTAATATGGATACCGGGACATGTCGGCCTAGAGGGAAATGAACGTGCTGATTCCCTCGCCAAAACTGGTGCAGGCTCGCCATTCGTGGACCCAGAACCGACACTTAGCGTACCAAAAAATCTCGCAAGAGACAGGCTCTGTGAATGGGTTAGGGATGTAACGCTTCGGGACTGGTATGACAGTCCCGGAATGGAACATGCCAAAACAATCCTAGCAGGGCCATCCAAACGTAGAACAGATGAACTCCTAAAGGCTGGTAGGAACGGAGCGCGTACGCTTACTGCAGTATACAAGGGCCACTGCCGGCTGAGATCACACCTACAGAGGATGGGACTGGTGGAAGACGCCGAATGCCGACTCTGTATGGAAGATGACGAAACAATGAAGCACGTTATGTGTACCTGCCCCGCTGGGGGCAGGACCAGGTTTGAGGTGTTTGGCAAACCCACGCTAGACTTATCAGACCTAGAAGACATATCACCCTCGGACATAACGGCCTATGTTAAAAGGATGGGTCTTGAGGGCGAACTTTAATGCTCTTTTTCTATTAAAGAGCTTGTAGAAACTGAGCCACAATAGGCCCTCGCGGCGTCAGTGGAGGGTCCCAACTGGGACTCACTCTTAGTAAAATACAAAATACAATCAATGTCAAAAGATAAGCTGGAGTCAAGGCTGTTTTATACCTTTTTTGAAACAGCTAAATGTTTATCAAGCTAACTTCCGCCTTCCCTAATTTATCTTCTAGTTCATTCCAAATTTCTACCGACATTTTGTTCTGCAATAAACACTTTGCACTTTAAACATTAGATGGTACTTCTCGACTAACTTTAGATGGTTTTATTCTCGACTTAAGACTGTCATGACTATTTCCAAAAAAAAATCCTTCGATCTAAGCGGCCGATTTTTTTGCGGAAACAGGGGCATCGGCAAAGTTTACAGTATAAACTATATCGGTGGCCGATGTGGAAAAACGACACGCGCCGTAGAAATGTTAATATTGTTGCGGACCCGTGTGGACTCGACCTAACCTAACTATATGTCCCGGAGGGCGGGACATATAGTTAGGTTAGGTCGAATCCACACGGGTCCGCAACAATATTGTCAATATCGGTCACGAAGATTTAGCCATTTAGGATAGGACTTAAATAGAAAATTGATTAAAATAAAAAAAACATCCGATTAAAATCAAATAAATCGATATTTTTTTATTATGTTTTTTAAAAATCACGATTTTTTTTGCACCCTGGTTTTGAGTAGTGTATTTTTATATTCGGTTCGTCCTTGAAACGTCCCTTGAAAAGCTTAAAGCCCCATACTCACACTTCGCTCCTTCCTTCGCTTCCTTCCTTCCTTCCCTTCGCTTCCTTCCTTCCTATTCGATGCTTGGAAATTAGTCAGTTATGCAACAAGACACCACAAAATATTTTTAATATAGCAGCTACATGTTTAATACGAAATATCTAGTAACCTCTAAAATTTTTAAAAAATCCGAAAGGCGCATAATATTTATTTTATAAAACTGCAATTCTTTGTCGTGTCAAAAATTAAAATTGAATTTTAATAATATATTTTTTTTAATAAATCCGAATATTTCGGTATCATGTACAAGGTATATCAGTATGAATGTACAAGGCGAGTCAACAATAGAGTAAAGTTTATTATGTAATTTATATCAAAACCATGAAATTATGACATACTAATTAAACGTTAATGATGTCAATCCCCATTTCTTCAGATATTTTTGTAAAGGCATCATGCACAATATTTCTATTTTTTTTTATTTTTGTCGCTACGATTACATAAATATGGACATGCATTTTTTCACAAATATGAAGACAATAATTGTTTTTTTCTTCCATTTTTTAGACTATTGTGTGTGAATTATTTTTATATCGACTGGCGATTGCTAGATGTACAGGATGTCCTATTTGTGTGTGTTTTATGGGGTTTCTGGTTTATGAGTAGAGATATAAAGATGCTGTTTTCACATCATTGTTCTACTTATTATGAAACTAAATATACTACATAAGAAATAAGAAATAACTTTGAACTAAGAAGGCTAGGATAAATATGTATTTATCCTAGCCTTCTTAGTTCAAAGTTATTTCTTATTTCTTTCTTTTACTTTTTATTTTTTAATTAGTAGAAATTTTTGCATTTTTCGATAACCTTTGTATC